CTCATTCTCATTAAAACTGTCTTTTATCTTACTTATGCTTGTTCACTGCTTCTTTGTTTCTCTTTGCTCTTAATGATGACCAGAAAGTTAAAAAGAAAAACTCCATATCAAAAGAAGCAAAGAAGATGCCAGCCTATTTTCTTGTCTATTAAAAAAGCAAAGCCGAATTTGCACATGAAAGCCCTCTGTCAAAATCTACTCCATTTTATAATAAAATGTAAAAGCATTTACTCATGATGCCTCGTTGTACTACTAGGCCATTTTCTTAAGAGGCAAGTAATATGATTAGGCTCTTACCCTTAATTATTAGTATAAATTCAGTAAAATTGATCTTACATAGAAACATAAAATTAGACTTATTCAAACTACAGACGACAGATACCAAAGTATTCAACACAAACTAATAGTTCACTTATAATTTAGAATTTAAACCACACATAACCCACAGATTAGATGACAGAAATATCTTACCCATACTGGCTTTGACCACCAGCAATGTGGTTAAAGGAACAAGGACCGATGAAAACCCTCGAATCGTTCGGGCCATGAGCAGTCAACTCTGGAATATACCTCTGAATTTTCCCCTGCAAAAAAGGACAAATTCATTGATATTAAACACAGGACACCACCAAAACCAACAGCATTCAGAAGAGCTGAAAAGGTCCCTTTAATTTTCTCCAGATTGTTAAGATATTTTTAAAAGTGTACCTTTAAAATAAATAAAAGGAAACTATTAGCTGCTGTCAACCTCTGTTGGGTTTTCTCTGCTGGAGATGCTCGGCGCTCAGTCTTGTTCTGCCATCTGCCTTTATTCCTATTTCTTGGACTGGTTCACTCTGCTTCATTCACACTCACCTTCAGACTGTTCCTTGAGCAAGGCATGCCTTTGCTTTGGGGACTCTGCACTTTCTGTTTCCCCTGTGAGAATCTTCTCCCCTGGTTCTGAGTGGCTGGCTCACAGCCTTCAGATCTCAGCTGATGTGTCATTTCCTCAGAGATCCCCTCCCTGACCCCCGAGTCAAAGTGGTCATACCTACTAACTCACCACGTATTGCCTTCATGGTACAACCTATAACTACCTTCTTTATTTACTTGTTTGCTTGACTGTCATCTTTCTTGAAGCTGCCGTGAGAACAGAGACATTGTCTGACTTGTTCACATCAGCCCTTAGCCAGCAATTAGCTTTGGAAAAGAGATGTTACTCAACGAACGTTTACAGAAAAAAAGTGGTGGGGAATAGGGAGAATATAAATTATAGAAAACTGCCTCCAAGTACCCCACCAAAGGCGTTTGTTCATGCTCTAACCCTTAGATCCTGTGAAGAGATTACCTTACCTCACAAAAGGACTTTGAAGATTAGCTTGAAGTTAAGAATGTGATAGCAGAGGAGGTCAGGTGCTTGCCTTGCATGCAGCCAGCCCAAAACAATAACACAATTAAGTTCAGATAATGACAAAAAAAAAACCCTAAAGTAAATGGTCTATAAAGAGGCCAGAGAGGTAATATTCGGGTAAGGCATGTGCCTTGCATGCAGTTGATCTAGTTTCACCCCCAGCACCAGCATATATGGTCTCTTGCAACAGAAGGGGTCCCAGAGACAGCAAGAGCTTCGGAGCAATACAGGGTACGGCCCAAACCCCACCCGCCCCACAGTTTTAAAATGAAAAAGAAAATCAAGCTAAGGTGATGGAGGGAAAGAACATGGGAGGGAGATATGCCAGCCCATGAAGACATTTCTGGGAGGCAAAGCTTGAGTGGAACTTGGACTTGACCAATGGAAGTTTCAAGAAAGAATTTTCTTGACAGGGAGGAATGCAAAAATTAGAGTCAGAGGAATACACTTGCTGTGGGGAGGGACAGAAATCAAGCCATCCAGCTGAGGAAAATGAGCGTGAAGGACAAAGTGAATGAAACTGGAAAAGAAGGCAGGAGACAGGGAAGTGCAGATCTGAGCCTTAAATCATTGGGAAGCGATGAGTGTTTCATTGGAAAATTTATTTATTTGATGAGTTGTATTTTACTTGGGTGTTATTACAAATTGCATTAAAACACACACACACACACACACACACACGTAAAAACAGCAAACAACAAGGTAACTCTTGGGGCCTTGGATGGGTTGAAAGAGAAAGAGGCAGATCAATGAGGAAGCAGTTGTAGAGTCCCAGGTAAGAAATGATGGTGACAAGAACCACAGGGTAAGGGACTCAAAGGAGGGGTTGATCTTAGGAAGCCTTACCTGAGTCTTCAGGCAAGACTAAAACTTCTACTGGATTCTAGAGCTTCCCACCATGCTGACGTCTTTCTGTTTCAGAACTTGCCATATAAAGTAGAACAAGCTTATTTGGGCACCTGCCTGTCCCCTCCATTAGCTTGAAGATCCTGGTGGGAAGAAGCCACCCTGTGAGACATGAAGTGGACACACTCCACACTATCTGAAACTAAAGTTTTATTTACTTGCTGTGAGTTCACTTTCTGAGTTCTATTTTACTTCTAGTTTAATTATATTAAATGACATTAAATCCAACTCTGCTACATTGTGGTCAACATCAAAAATACATTTTTATTTACTGTATCTACTGTGGTTGCATTGTTAAAATTTTGGAAGATTCTGGCAAACTGGAAATTATGGGTTGAAGTAGAAGACAAATGAATCAACAGATACATTGGGGTTAAATAGGTTTCTGCTTCCTAACTGAAAAAGTTATCAACACTGCGTTTTCCGGTATGTATTGCAACTTAGAGCTATAATGTTCTCCAAATAATAACATATTCAATAGAACGGGGTGGTGGGGGTGGCTAAGTGAAAGTCTTGCAGGTGCGAGGCTGTGCGTTCAATTCCTAATCCTCCCACATGCACAGAGCTTGCCTGCGTGTACCAGCCTGCCCTCCTGCCTGAGATGCCCCCAGCCACGGCAATTTCCTGCCACAAGGCAGGCAGGTGTGTACAGGCACCACAACTGAAGGGCATCATGCTCCCATGAGCACTGTAGCAGTGTGTATGAGCCCATCTACTCATTCAAGCACCACAACCAACTGAGCAGTCCCAATCAAAACTCCAACATCCAGAGAGAAGGGGAAGAGGAGATACAATTTTGAACAAGATAGTCAGCTGGGGCTTTCATTCACTCCGAAGAAGCCGATGTTCTCTCTTGAATATGTATTCCTCTTTTTCTCTCCCTCCCTGTGTAAGTAAACATAGTTTAATAAAAACCATCTTCACTAAAAGAGTAAGAAGAAAAAGAAAAGAAAGATACTCAAGTAGACTATAGACCAAACATGATTGCCACTCAATGTTTCTTTTGCAAACCACAACACCCAAAAGGAGAGAGAGAACAGAGGGGAATGCCCTGCCACAGAGACAGAGTGGGATGGGGGGGATGGGGGGTGGGAGGGATACTGGGATCCGTGGTGGTGGGAAATGGGCACTGGTGGAGGGATGGGTGTTTGATCATTGTATAATTGAAACCCAAGCACAAAAATGTGTAAGTCTGCAACTGCACCTCATGATGTCTCACTATTAAAAATTTTTTTAATAAAAAAAGAAAGATACTCAATTGACTATTATAAAAATTGGAAACATGAATATGTGGAAGGCACACATGTGATATTGAGATATATGAACCAAGCATGTCTGAAATACACACATGCACAATCCTATATAAAATAGGCGAGAGGACACATTTGAATGCGTGTAGTACATTGATCCAAGCACAAACTTACTCATTTTCTCTCTCATGTACGATGACTTCCACATTTATAAGAAATGTAGAACCCTAGAGACCTTCGAGTAAATGAGGTATCTTCCAATAAAATGAAACCTCCTAGCAACAGTAAACATCCTCCAGCAGCTCGCATGGAGAATCAACAGTAAAACGTCAATGCTACCTGGAATCCAAAAATCAAAGAGTGTGCTGTGTCCCTGACTCATCACTCAAGTTGTGAGTTTCCAGACAGTGAAAACAAGGTTCCCCCGAGGGGGGTGGAGCCGATCAGACAGGCGGCATCTGGCAGGAGTCCAGACTCCTCCAAAACCATGCAGTGACTTCAAATCCTTTTTGACTGGGTGACAAAAAAACCCTGACCACAGGTGATGATTTCACATCGGCAAGGACACTTGCTACTTACTTCCACATGCCTCACCAATGTCTGTAGCTGTCTACTCAATGGATGGAGCGACACAGCACTGTGGAAAAGAACCAGATGAGTGAATCTCACTGCTGCTATGTGTGCCTCACTGTAAGAAACCCTCTCCCAGGGATAGACATAGAAAGATTGCATTCATCTGGGGGATATAAAGTAACAAAGTATGAGATTAATACCCAAGAATAGCTGAGATCAACACCAGGAGGATTACTCTATAGCTTAGAGGCCAGCCGGGCATTCTAGGGGAAAGGGCAGCTCAGATAGAGAAGGGAGCACCAAATAAAGAGTGTTTGGAGGATCCTCCCAGGAGGGGAGATGCATGTCGAAAGTAGACTATGAACCGAACATGTTTGCCACTCAATGCCTCTTTTGCAGACCACAACACCCAAAAGAAGAGAGAGAACACAAGGGATTGCCCTGCCACAGAGGCAGGGTGGGATGGGGGGGATGGGGGTGGGGGAGATATTATCCATGGTGGTGGAAAATGGGCACTGGTGGAGGGATGGGTATTTGATCATTGTATAATCGAAACCCAAGCACAAAAAATTGTAAATCTACAACTGTACCTCATGGTGTTTCACTAATAATAAAAAAAAAAAGAAAAAAATTTAAAAAAAATATAAAGAAACCCTCTCCCATCTATCCCAGGGGACTGTAATATCAACATCAACTACCCTACTGGGAAGGTTACGAGGATCATTTCGGGATCCATGAGGATATTCAGAATATACCACTAACACTACACCCTTTCCTCTGCCTGCTTTGGTATGCTCTCTCCAAATCACTGATCACTTATATTGTACTACCATTGCAGGATTTGTAAGTTAGACAAGGTGCAAAATTAGGTGTTAAGGACTGGAATGATAGTACAGCGGGCAGAGCACTTGCCTTGCATGTGGTCGACCTGGGTTCGATCCCCTGCATATCCCATGGTTCCCTGTACACTTCCAGGAGTGACTCCTGAGTGTCGAACCAGGAGTAAACCCTGAGCATTGCCAGCTGCTGCCCAAAAGAGAGAAAAAAAAAAGATTTTAGGTGATTTTTATTCCTAACCCTGACTACCAAAAGAATCAAGAGTTAAGCAGAGGAAGGAACCTCAGTGGCGAGCTGGTGGTTACCAGATATCTACAGCTCTCTCCCCTCCACGCAGCTCCCGTGAGCTCTTGGCCACATGAACTTCAGAGGGCTTATTTTCAATGCACAGCAGGGTTGGTTGTCTTCCAATGCAGGTTGTTCATTACCGAGTTGACTCAAAGAGGCATGGAACACAATTCTTCCCTTGTGCCTGAAAGCAATTTGCACTGTCCGGCCAAAGACCCAGTAGCCACATCCACATCCCAACAACTACCACATGCCTCCCTTGCCTCACGACTGAGCTCCACAGTGATACTAACCTGCTGA